TTGGTAAATCATAGACGATAGTTTAATATACGTGGAAAGAGAGAGAGAAAGAGAAAGAGAAAGAGAGAGAGAGAGAGAGAAAGAGAGAGAGAGAGAAAGATGTGATATCGATTACCGTTTGGGGTTCCGATATTACGCTTGTACCCCTCTCACGTCACACCCCTTCGTATGTACGTCGAGCCAGTTTCCACCCTGACTATCTCTCTCTCTCTCTCTCTTTCTCTCTGTCGCATATTTCTCTCCCTTCTCAGCACCCTCTCTCATTCGTCTATCTCCTCTTCTCTCTTTGTCTCTCTCATTCGGTTTCTCTCACACGCGCACGCGTATTCATCTCACGCACGTTTCTTCCTCTCGTATAAAAGTACACGCATTTTCCTACATATATATGTGTAATAATAATAATAATAATAATTATATTTAAATGAGACTATTTTCTTGTGTGTAATGCAAACTTTCAAAGAGTTCTTCTATAGACAGTAAGATATCGTAGAATTATTTTATCGCCTCTACCTATACGGGAAATAACTTTGAAAAACCGTACCTGAACGTTATGGCTTATGCACATGACAGCCAGTTTTTTATATTTCATCCTTTTTTTTTTTTTTCATTTACTTTTTCTCCTTTTATTATATAATCGTTCATACCACGCAAATTGATATTTTACTTTAATTTATCTCTCACTAAATTAATTTCATTTAAATAAATACCGAAACCGTATTCGTAAATATGAATCTCGTTGTGTAAAATATATTTTAAATATTGTTCATTTATTACGAGATTAAATTCTTTATTATTATTACAATTGATTCATATAAATTGTTGAAATTTATCTATGAGAGAGAGAGAGAGAGAGAGAGAGAGAGAGAGAGAGAGAGAGAGAGAGAGAGAGAGAGAGAGACTGGTGGTTTGACGTTAACGTTGCCACTTTTTTTTGTTGCATTTTTTCTTCAACAGTATACGTTTAAAATCAATGTCCAATGCACATAGGGCTTCCTTCGGTTCAGAACGTGAATACAAAAGTGTGAGAGTGAACTTCGAGGGTTGGATATTCGCGTAGGGATCCCAAAGTACATATACGAGGGTATATCAAAGCGTGTGTTAGTGTTTTGAACGATATTTGGACGTGGATATATAGGGTGACCCGTAACGACGCATAGATAAATACGAGACACCTTTTAAACCTTCACCTAGATGAACAATTTTAATTAATTCCTTTTTCTTTTCTTTTTCTTTTCTTATTCTCATTTTGTATTATTTTATTATTTATTGCAAATGTGAAAGAAATATTACTCGAGTTAATACGTGACTCGAGAAAATTGGAAATAGAAACTGTTTAAGGGTGTGTCTATTTGAATTCTCATTTAGTAGAAATACATTTATCTAATTTCCATCTCTAATCGATTCTTAGTAAACCCTATGTTAGTTTTTTATTTGCATAAATGTTTGTACGAGTATAGTGGAAAATTATGGAAATAGTTAGGGAGTTGATATTTCTAATAAATTATCAATAAATGGTTTAGAAATAAAAGTGTTTCGTATATTTCGAATGAAAATAATTGTTAACCCATTGGATACGGATTTGTTTGAGAAAATATTTGCATGTGAAAAGGATATAATTTTTGGTTGGTTTTACGTAAGAATTTATTTATTTCTAAAATATTGGTAACATATGTATAAAATATTAAGATATCTTCAAGTAATTGCTGACAAACGACATGGTGAATTGAAAAACAAGTGAATGACGACTCTCAGACTTCAAATGTACGCCAAGAGTTTAATTTTTGGTTTGACGTTTTAAATACGTCATCTGTTCCTAGGAGAAAAAAGTAAATGACGTATCTCAGACGTCAAATGTACCCAAAGGGTTAATATTATTTAAGGGGTTACATGGGTTTGGGACTTTCAAAAAAATTTTTTTTTTATCATTTTGAATTCTACAACTCATCTAGAATATTGTATTGAATTTTGAAGTCGATAGGAGTAGTAGTTTTAAAGATAGAGCCCTGGGAAGTTGCACTCTTTAATGGTTCTTATACCCAGCACTCAAATCTTTAAATGCGTTTTTCTCAAAACGCTTTTTTTAAAGTCGGTTGTCAAGATTTCTCGATAACTATTTAACTGAT